GGAGGAGGAGCGGCAGGTGCGCGTCGTGCCGACGCGGCGGCGGCCCTGCCGCGGGCGTGCAGGGTGGAACGCCGCCAGCGGCCCGGAATCGGTAGAACAGTCTGAGAATCGGCGGGTTTGGAGGATGTATTGGGCGCCGGGGCCGCTCCAGAGAGTTCCGGAACGCTCTGAGAGCGCTCCGGAACACTCTGGAGCGATTTATCCCGATCCTAGCTCTGTTTTAGGTGCACGCGGTGTCAGGCTCGGGCTGAACGAAGGGGGGGGATTGGGAAAGGGGGGGTACGACATTTGCTGCATGCAGCTGGCTTCGGCCCCTCCGCCGGGCCCACTCCTCGATACATGGGCGCCTCCTGGCGCCGGGAGGCGCCAGGAAAATCAGCTACGTGAGCTGATTCTCAAACCCCCCCTTTGCTATCCCCCCCCTTTCGCCCGGCCCGACAGGAACCAACGCCGAAGTCGGCGAGGACACGAACTTGCCGTGGGCTTGTCGTAACCCCTTGGGAAACAGGATGCCTCCCAGAGGAGGTTCAAAGAATGGGTCTTCCGGCTTTGGTATGTGTTCCCCAGGGGCATTGGAGTCGTTTGTGTCGATTATGTGTACGTTAGCGTCCCATGGAGGATGATCGAGGAAAGAAGTTCTCGTAACCCTTTGGGAAACACGATGCTTCCAGAGGGGATTCGAAGAATGGGTCTCCCGGTTTTGCTATGTTTCCTCCAGGGGCATTCGGGTCGCTTGTGACGGTTAGGATAAGCATGCAGCTCCCATCGGAAAACATGTGGAAAGCGACCCAATTTCGAAGGTGGGGTCCGAGCAGCATGTATTTACCCTCGTTGAGCTACGCAGACCGAGGGACGCTGTGTGAGCGAACTTGACTGAGAGTTGCGGGGTTGCCCTGCATTACTGTCCTTTCTGCCTCCCTCGTCATTTCGCGCAGGACTTTCAGACGAGCAGATCAACCCACAATAATTACCCAGTCGGTAAACTTTTTGGTGGACGCCCACGCAGCCGCATGCACAGAAGAGCTTCTGGTCACACATTGCCGTGAAGGTCTACATAGCGGTTTTCGGACCATCCTGCGACAACGAATGAGAGGCCACTCGGAGACCTTTTGGAGGGTCTCTCGGGGGCCTCTTTGAGGCATCCTGTTGGGAGACTCTCGGTGGTCTCCTACGTTCGGGAGTCTCCGAGGACCTCTTGTCGGGGAAGCGTAAGATTCGAGCTCGCCGACGATCTGGTTCCGCCGACGCATTCTGACGTGCCTGCCCTGACTTTGAAAGGTCTCGTTTTCGTGGGATGCTTGCAACGGGAGTTCGCGCCACATTTCCGATGAGGTCTCGTCTCTTCCTGACGGTCCCGTCAGGCCAACCCGAGTCCCCAAACCCGAGTCGCACGTCTCCCCGGTCTTGGGGTCTTCTGTTTCTGTCTTGAACGGGAGGCTTCCAGCGGTCTGGCGATGGCGGCATAGCATCCACTCTGTTTCAATAACGTTGGCTTTAGGCAAGCCCCTGCGGCCTTTCCAGGAGGGTTGTCCAATGAGGAACATCCTGGAGGCCTCGCGCGGCGCGCAGTAGTCTTATGATCTAGTTCGCACGTCCGCCCCATCAGTTATGAGACACCGTTCGCGCAGCGATGTTCCGACGCACATGCGGCACACATGCGACGTACATGCGACGTGCATCCGACGCAACGTGGGTCTCGAGTTGCCGCGCGAGGCCTCCAGAGTGTTCCTCGCCAGTTGCCGCGCGAGGCCTCCTGAGTCCATCTCGGGACATGCTGCAACGTAGGGACCCCGAGGACCCCCCGGGACCTCGGGAAACTTGGCATCGCTCGGAGGTGTGCATTTTTCCTTGGGCGAGGACCATCCAGGAGCAGCCTCGATCACTTGGTGAAAAAAAAAACACGCACGAAACCTAAAACAAAAAAAAACAGGAAATGGACGTCCGAGCGATGGCGAGTGTAGGGACCCCGAGGACCCCCCCGGGACCTCGGGAAGTGTCACGCCGACCCTCGCCTTGGATTCTCAGTCGCCGAGGAGCAGCCTCGATCATTTGGCGAAAAAGCCACGCACGAAACCGAAACAAAAACACAGGGAATGGACGTCCGAGCGATGGCGAGGAAGTGTGACGCCGACCCTCGCCTTGGATTCGCAGTCGCGCACGTTTCCGCTCGTCCTGCAGCGAGTGCATACATGTCGGCGACCGGCGCCCCCAGCAGCGCGCACACGCCGCGCCCAGGGAGCGCCCAGTGGCTTCCCTTGTCGCCCAATATAGCGCCCAGCAGCGCCCGTGGTGTGCCATAGGAGGGAGGTGCATGACATCCGCTGTGTGTCATTCAGGAGGGAAAAAACACACAGACACAATTAATCGTCGATTCCCCAGAACATGTGGAAAATATGGGAAGTGGGGGGGAAGGCAATAACCGAGAACATATGGGAAAATATGGAGAATCCTTTTATTTGTGTGTATTTATTTGTGTGTCCCAGGGCCCCTTCAGTCATATTAGGGAGACGATTGAGTTGTGTTCCTGCAGTCGGGGCGCTGAAGAAGGAGCCCTTTGCGTTGGGGAGGGGCTCCGTGTTCCTTGATTGTTTCTCAGTTCGCCTTCGGTTTTCCTTGGGCTTTCGGTGGGACATCGACATTTAACTTCTGGAAAAAAAGGGACCTCGTTTCTTATTTAGGGTTCCTCAGGTCAACGCCCCGACTGTACTCCCCGAGAGCGCCCAGACGTTGCGAAGACCGGGGGGCCTCAGAAGGGCGCTTGGCATCTGCAGTATTCCGCACTGAGGACTCAACGTGGCCTCCGAGGACACTCCGCTCAGTGTGTACGCCACGGTGGCCACATTCATACAGAACTGTTTCTGGACGCGCATGCAGCGTGCATGGAGCATTCGCGCGTTACGTGCGTTGAGCTTGTACCGGGGAGCAGACACATGTGTCAGTCAGACAAGGGATCGGATTTGATGTTCGGATTCGAAGTTCAATCAGGATGCAGTGTCAGAAGTCGGCGCAGTTCTTCGATCCCCCGCAGCGAGGCCTACAACGCCACTGTCTTTGCATACGGCTCTACGGGTGCTGGCAAAACGTTCACGATGATCGGCACCCAGAAGGACCTCCAGGGAGAGACAGGGGCAGGACAGAATCATGGGGGAAGGAGGGAGGAGGAGGAGGAGGAGGAGGAGGAGGAGGACGCATGGGGGGGCAGGTGGGAAGGCAACGGCGTCGCCCCATCTCGATGCCGGTCCGAAGAGCCCCCTCGGCTTCCGAGAGCGCATCCCTAAGGTTGAGGCCGCATTTGGGCTTCTCAATCTCAGGCATCGGGATGAGCTCGAGCCCAGCTAGAAGGGGAGGGGGGGTGGACGACGGTGGGAGGGCCCTGGGACCACACCGCAGCGCCAGGCGCGGAGAGGGGTTCGGGCAAGGACACGGATGTTTTGGCAGCAAGCATGGATCGGAGGAGGAAAAGGTATCGATGCCGCTACCCCTGCCTCGTTCCCCCGTTTTGGGCCCTCCCTGGAGGCCCTCGTCGCCATAGCCGCTGGGTTCGCCTCGGAATGCTAGTCAGAGTGCGCTCAGGGAGGGGTCCAGGGAGCAGCGGTATTGGTACCTTTTGGTTTTCCCAGATGGGGAGGGATGGTGGTGACGGGGCCCCTCTGGTGGCGACGGGGAGAGATGATGAGGATGAGGATGACGATGACGATGGCGAGAGATGATGAGGAGGACGACCAGATCCGGTTGTCGTAAACCACCGAAGCCCAAACGAGTCACGTGAGCACAGAAAACCCGCCCCACCGACAGCCAGGGAGGGGTATCGTGAATTTGCTGTGCGCTTGCGGCTGCTTGCGGCGGCAGGGGTTTGTCTGCGTCCGCCGGGAATCCAGGACGAGAGCGCACACGTGAGAGCGACTCTGGCCAGATTCGCGGGTCCCCAGGGGCTTCTCCAAGTTGTTCGATCCTTCGCCGAGTTCCTCGCCAATGACCAGAGCCTCTTGGGCGGCCCGCGGCACATCGCCCAAGTCCGAGAATCAAGCTTCAGCGGCCGAGGCCCTCGCAAATAACCAGTACCTCTTGGGCGGCCCGCAGCATGCCGCCCATGTCCGCGAAACGAGTTTCAACGGGGTTCTCGCCGTTGCCAGCGCCTGTCTGCAGCTCACCCTCGTTCCAGAGTCGCTTGGTCTAGAACCAGCTGCTGGTATCAGTAGTCAGGCTGCGATTTGCAGAAGGGACGGGAATACGCAGTGCCTGCGACGTCTGAATAACTGCACTCCACTCCGGATTCCCAGGTCTCGAGTTCACAGCTGATTGCGAAAACAGGTTCGTTCAGTGCGGGTCTGAAATTTGGCCACAAACCTGATCACCCAACACGCATATTCCTCAAAACAGAGCGTGCACTCAGGGGATCTTGCTTGTTCCCGACCATCTTGTGGTGTTGGGTCCTCGTTTTGAAGAGACGGTCCCCGCGTTTCTCCTTCTCCTCCCCCTCGTCCTCCCTCCTCCATCATCATCACAGTCATCACCCGTTTGAGCCACACCCCTGACATGTTTCGTGGCCCCACAGGAAGCTCCACCGAAGGTCCCAAAGGCGCCGCCCGCATGCGTCACCCGCACCCATATCGGCACACCGCTCACACGTTTCGTGGCCCCATAGGGAGCTCCACCGAAGGCCCCAAAGGCGCCGCCCGCATGCGTCACCCGCACCCATTTCGGCGCACCCCTGACACGTTTCGTGGCCCCACAGGAACTCCACCGAAGGTCCCACTTCCACTGCACGCATGCGTCAGCCACGCCCATTCCGGCACACCCCTCACACGTGTCGTGGCCCCACAAGGATTTCCACCGACGGTCATTTGCCACCGCCCGCTTGCGTCACCCACACCAATTCCGGCACACCCTTCACAAGTTTCGTGGCCCCATAAGGAACTTCCACCGAAGGCCACAGTGCCACCGCCCGCATGTGTCACCCACACCCATCTAGGCCCCTTACACGTGTCGTGGCCCCAGAAGGATCTCCACCGATGGCTCCACTGCCACCGCACCGTCCGCATGCGCCCACCTACACCCATTTCGGCACACCCTTCACACGTTTCGTGGCCCCATAGGGAGCTCCACCGAAGGCCCCAGTGCCACCGCCCGCATGCGTCACCCACACCCATTTCGGCATACCCTCACACGTTTCGTGGCTCCATAGGGAGCTCCAGCGAAGGCCCCAGTGCCACCGTCCGCATGCGTCAGCCACGCCAATTCCGGCACACCCCTCACACGTTTCGTGGCCCAAAGGGAGCTCCACCGAAGGCCACAGTGCCTCCGCCCGCATGCGCCACCCACACCCATGTCGGCACACCCTTCACACGTTTCGTGGCCCCATAGGGAGCTCCAATGAAGGCCTCAGTGCCACCGCTCGCATGCGTCACCCACGCCCATTCCGGCACACCCCTCACACGTGTCGTGGCCCCAAAAGGATTTCCACCGACGGTCATTTGCCACCGCCCGCTTGCGTCACCCACACCAATTCCGGCACACCCTTCACAAGTTTCGTGGCCCCATAAGGAACTTCCACCGAAGGCCACAGTGCCACCGCCCGCATGTGTCACCCACACCCATCTAGACCCCTTACACGTGTCGTGGCCCCAGAAGGATCTCCACCGATGGCTCCACTGCCACCGCACCGTCCGCATGCGCCCACCTACACCCATTTCGGCACACCCTTCACACGTTTCGTGGCCCCATAGGGGGCTCCACCGAAGGCCCCAGTGCCACCGCCCGCATGCGTCACCCACACCCATTTCGGCATACCTCTCACACGTTTCGTGGCTCCATAGGGAGCTCCAGCGAAGGCCCCAGTGCCACCGTCCGCATGCGTCAGCCACGCCAATTCCGGCACACCCCTCACACGTTTCGTGGCCCAAAGGGAGCTCCACCGAAGGCCACAGTGCCTCCGCCCGCATGCGCCACCCACACCCATGTCGGCACACCCTTCACACGTTTCGTGGCCCCATAGGGAGCTCCAATGAAGGCCTCAGTGCCACCGCTCGCATGCGTCACCCACGCCCATTCCGGCACACCCCTCACGCGTTTCGTGGCCTCATAGGGATCTCCACCGACGGTCATTTGCCACCGCCCGCTTGCGTCACCCACACCAATTCCGGCACACCCCTCACAAGTTTCGTGGCCCCATAAGGGACTTCCACCGAAGGCCACAGTGCCACCGCCCGCATGTGTCACCCACACCCATCTAGGCCCCTTACACGTTTCGTGGCCCCATAGGGATCTCCACCGATGGCTCCACTGCCACCGCCCGCATGCGTCACCCACACCAATTCTGTCACACCCCTCACACGCTTCGTGGCCCCATAGGGAGCTCTAACGAAGGCCCCAGTGCCACCGCCCGCATGCGCCACCCACACCCATTTCGGCACACCCTTCACACGTTTCGTGGCCCCATAGGGAGCTCCAACGAAGGCCACAGTGCCACCGCTCGCATGCGTCACCCACGCCCATTCCGGCACACCCTTCACGCGTTCCGCGGCCCCAACGGAAGTTCCACCAAAGGCCCCAGTGCCACCGCTCGCATGCGTCAAGCACACATTCCGGCACACCCCTCACACGTTTTCTGGCCCCATGGGGATCTCCACAGTAGGCCACCGTCCGCATGCGCCCACCTACACCCATTTCGGCACACCCTTCACACGTTTCGTGGCCCCATAGGGAGCTCCACCGAAGGCCCCAAAGGCGCCGCCCGCATGCGTCACCCACACCCATTTCGGCATACCTCTCACACGTTTCGTGGCTCCATAGGGAGCTCCAGCGAAGGCCCCAGTGCCACCGTCCGCATGCGTCAGCCACGCCAATTCCGGCACACCCCTCACACGTTTCGTGGCCCAAAGACAGTGCGCCACCCACACCCATTTCGGCACACCCTTCACACGTTTCGTGGCCCCATAGGGAGCTCCAATGAAGGCCTCAGTGCCACCGCTCGCATGCGTCACCCACGCCCATTCCGGCACACCCCACGCGTCACACGTGCCACCGTCGCATGCGTCCCACCAATTCCGGCACACCCCTCACACGGATTTCCACCGACGGTCATTTGCCACCGCCCGCTTGCGTCACCCACACCAATTCCGGCACACCCTTCACAAGTTTCGTGGCCCCATAAGGAACTTCCACCGAAGGCCACAGTGCCACCGCCCGCATGTGTCACCCACACCCATCTAGGCCCCTTACACGTGTCGTGGCCCCAGAAGGATCTCCACCGATGGCTCCACTGCCACCGCACCGTCCGCATGCGCCCACCTACACCCATTTCGGCACACCCTTCACACGTTTCGTGGCCCCATAGGGAGCTCCACCGAAGGCCCCAGTGCCACCGCCCGCATGCGTCACCCACACCCATTTCGGCATACCTCTCACACGTTTCGTGGCTCCATAGGGAGCTCCAGCGAAGGCCCCAGTGCCACCGTCCGCATGCGTCAGCCACGCCAATTCCGGCACACTCCTCACACGTTTCGTGGCCCAAAGGGAGCTCCACCGAAGGCCACAGTGCCTCCGCCCGCATGCGCCACCCACACCCATGTCGGCACACCCTTCACACGTTTCGTGGCCCCATAGGGAGCTCCAATGAAGGCCTCAGTGCCACCGCTCGCATGCGTCACCCACGCCCATTCCGGCACACCCCTCACGCGTTTCGTGGCCTCATAGGGATCTCCACCGACGGTCATTTGCCACCGCCCGCTTGCTTCACCCACACCAATTCCGGCACACCCCTCACAAGTTTCGTGGCCCCATAAGGGACTTCCACCGAAGGCCACAGTGCCACCGCCCGCATGTGTCACCCACACCCATCTAGGCCCCTTACACGTTTCGTGGCCCCATAGGGATCTCCACCGATGGCTCCACTGCCACCGCCCGCATGCGTCACCCACACCAATTCTGTCACACCCCTCACACGCTTCGTGGCCCCATAGGGAGCTCTAACGAAGGCCCCAGTGCCACCGCCCGCATGCGCCACCCACACCCATTTCGGCACACCCTTCACACGTTTCGTGGCCCCATAGGGAGCTCCAACGAAGGCCACAGTGCCACCGCTCGCATGCGTCACCCACGCCCATTC